GTTCTAATCGGGTTTGTCAAAAGCAACCACCAAATCCTTTACGGATTAGGATCAGGCACTCCGGCGTTTTTAAAATTGCACACATGCTGGGAGTTTATATGTCCATATATATATGGTAGTACGTACGCGTTCATACTTTTTTTTCTTTTTTAAGGTGATGACTCCATGCCATATATAAAAATGGTATTTATTATGTATATACAAAACACAAGAAAAAGAAATATTTATGTGTACCTGAATATTATACCTAAAACAAAATGAAGTATATTTGCATACATTAGTACGACCGCACCACATACCAATTGTTGGATTGTTTAGCTCCGGCAATGTCTAGTAACGTGATCGCGTAGACGGATTCATATGGCAGTACACGAGACACAAGAATTTATACTGGTTCGGGGCACGGTGCGCACTAATCTCTATTCCAGTGGTGTTGCTGCTCTTGTATTCGTATACTCAATTATAGGGGTTGTTGCTCCTAGCTACGAGGTAGATTGGGATGGCGGAAGATGGATCCCGTGCCTGAGGTCTCTGCCCTCCTTTATATAGGCAGGAGAGGTAGGGTTACAGAGAGGACGATCGGGCTAACAGATTATATTCCTAGTTTATATAAATATCTTTACACAAATTATATTTTTGAGTATTAAAATATATTTTTGCCTATTTATTGAATGACTTCAAATTTAAACTACATGTCTTGTTAAAACCATCCTTAAATTTCAATAAAATACACATATGAGTGTAGTGTTGCATTTCAGTGCTACCTGTTAGAAACAAACAATCAGATATTTGTATACTTTACAATTTTATTGTTTTGTCATTTCATATTTTCTGTAATTTAATAGTACCAAAATCTCCTACAACTAAAAAGACTAAAAGTAAGACTATTTTTTTGTGCGACTTTTTTTTGGGTCGCTTCTCCCTTTCGGCCATGCGATACCCCGCGCAATAGAAAAACAAACTGCCATCCCTGCGATCCCCACCTACTTTGAAGGAAACAAATCGATAACCTGAGGTCACATGCATGGAAAGAAACAATAATCATGCATGGAAGAAAATAATTGGCAAAGATCAAGCAAGACTCCTCCCTTTCAGCCATACGATACCCCACGCGGTAGAAAAAGAAACTGTCATCCCGCGATCCTCGCCTGCTTTAAAGAAAACAAATCGATCACCTGAGGCCACATGCATAGAAGGAAACAATAATCATGCATGGAATAAAACAATTGGCAAAGATCAAACAAGACGACTCAATAAGATTGGCCCTTAATTTTAGTGTTTCCAGCATGCAGACCTGAAATTAAAAAGTGACTGCTCCTTGAGAACATCAGTGGTGCCAAATAAAAGATGTGTAGGTTATACATGATGAGACTGGTGAACTTTCTGTAATTTCCTAAACAAATATTCCCACCATTCGTATATAGGTCCATTCCCCTGCATTTCTTCGTGCTCCAATTAGCATATAATATAAAAATATTGTTGTATTTATCACGACTTTCAATTGACTACTCCTATTAGCATATACTTCATCTGCCCCAAAATATAAGTCGTTATAGGATGTGTGCAGGTCAAACTTTCTCAACTTTAACTAGGTTTATAAAAAATACGTGCAACATTTAACAATCAATTGGTCGACTCCTGAGGCCACGTGCATGTAAAAAATACCTGTATTATAATTGGTCGAAGTTAAAAAAAAGTTGACTTCTCGGAAAACGAGAATGAATTCTATTTTGGGACAGAGGGAGTATATGAAAGCAGTGTTGAAAATATTTTAATAATAAGTTCGTCTCTGTCTGATTGGTAAGGTTAGACATCATAATGGCATCAAAAATTTCGACTCTCATAGACACCCTCATGGATCAATGCAAAACATCCCAATCCTACAGCATATACAAATGGCAACCTTAAAGACCATCTTAGATGTTCTGGCATTAGAGTATATATGTGCAGACATATAGGCATGGTAGTGCAAGTGAGCAGCCAGCAGGAGTCGAGAGTTAGGGGTGTTTGGATCCCAAGACTAAGCTTTAGTCCCTGTCACATTGAATTTTTAGATATCAATTAGGAGGACTAAACATGAGCTAATTATAAAACTAATTACATAAGTTGTGGTTAATTCGCTTGCCAGCGCCGTGTACATGATGGTATGGAGATGTGGTGGAACTTATTCGTGGATTTGTTGGCGCACGAAAGAAATTGATATCAGAAATCTCTTCCTGCCGGTATAAAAAATGATCTTAGCGGCATTACGAAAAGATCTACACAGTAGAATTTATGAGCTTGCGACGCCATGCTCGCTGTGACTGTGTAAATTTCACGAACTTAGCTTTTTGGATTAAATGTCACTTTAACGTCGGTCATATACTTTTACAGTATTGTTATCTTATCATGCGATCCGTGTGTTTTTAGTACAAAAGTTTAGCTGTCCCGTAAGAACGCACGGGCACGAACCTATTTACATATATACTCGAACCTGTGTGTACATGATTATATAGAGATAAAGTGGAACTTATTCATGGATTTATTGGCGCATGAAAGAAATGGATATCGTAGAATTCTTTCAGCCGATATAAAATATTATCTTAGCCGTATCACGAAAAAATCTATACAGTAGAGTTTGTGAGCCTGCGACGTCGCGCTCTCCGTGACTGTGTTAATTTCACGAACTTTGCTTTTTGAATTAAATGTCACTTTGACATCGGTATTTAATTTAACAGTATTGTTATCTTATCGTGCGATCCGTGTGTTTTTAGTACAAAAGATTTAGTTGTCCCGTAGCAACGCACGGACACGCTACCTAGTGTTTTAAAAAATCCAAAACTTGGTCAGGGATTAACATACAATATTATAACATCCCTAAAAAGGTTTCATATAGAAACTATAATTTTTGTAACAATTTGATTTATTTGATGTCTATTTCAAAGTTCTGGAGGACTTTCTCCTGGCAAGAGAGTTCCTCCTACAGAGACTACAAATGGCGAAGCAATCATCTAGTGTGTTACTAAATCCGTGTGGGACTATGGGCAGGGGACCTAAGTTGTCCATGCGGGACAATCTGCGTGTGCCCAGAAGCATTTATCTTTACTATTACTAATTTGGGGCTCTAATAGAGCTTCCACGTTAATTCTCATTAGATACGTTAGAAAAAAAAAGATAAATCCTAGAAATTTTCATAATAATCCAAAACATCGAGCTTTAATTTGCTAGAGTCTAATCGTCATAATAAATAATAGACATTCGATCTACTTTGTTTCATAAAAATTATCCACCTTTAATATTATAATACATAAAGTAACCCCTTGGTTCTAAATTCCCCACCTCTAGCATTATTAATTGGTGCATGAAAGATAATTCAATGTAGCCCTCTAAATTTATATATAAATTGTCCACCTCTACCAGTATCAAAGATAATTCAAAAGAACCCTCTAAGTTTGTATATTACCCACCTTCGCCATTTTAAAAAGATAATTCACAATAGCCCACCTAAATTTGTATATAAATTACCCACTTCTATCATATACTAAATTATCTTCATATACTCTTATGAAAGGTAATGTAAACTAACCACTACATTTGCATTCAAATTACCAATATATGTCATTACAAAAATATTGATTAACACATTTTTTATAAACATAAGCAATGGTGGTAATTGGATTTGATGGTAGAGAAGCAACTAATAGATGTGGTGGATCCAATGGTCCCTATCATTGTCAGGTCAATGAAAAAATCTCATTTTGAAGACCTTATGCCGCTGCCAGGTCAAATCACAATTAAACATTTGAATGTAACTGCCGAGTGATTTTCCAAACCAGCAGTGAAATCCGACATATCAATGTGTCTAAGCCCTTGTTTAGTTCGTGAAATTTGGATTTTGGGTCTACTGTAGCACCTTCGTTTTTATTTGGCAAATAGTGTCCAAACATTGACTAATTAGGCTTAAAACGTTCGTCTCGTAATTTCCCACCAAACTGTGCAATTAGTTTTTCTTTTCGTCTACATTTAATGCTCCATGCATGGACCACAAACATTCGATGTGACAGGTACTGTAGCTACTTTTTGGAATTTGGGTAGCAACTAAACAAGGGCTAACACCTGCAGTACTGCCAATTCCGACAGTGATAGCAGGCTTCACTCCTAGGTCAATAGGATCACAATCATTATATGGATCCTATGTCTTATGACCTGTCAATGAAGCTGGATTACTGTTGATTCTAGTACACACGGTAGTGATAGACCGATAGGGATTCCATGTTACGTGTATTGCCAGTATTGGTGATTTTGAACCTCCTCAAAGCCAAGGGTCACGCCATCCACGAGCTCCGTCGAAGACGAATAAAAATACTGAACAGCTGGCATTTCTTAATGGCTAAGTCTTGTGCATTATGCCACTAGTCGACTGTTGAAGATTTTACTAAGAACATCTGTTGATTATCATTTCGAAAAAAGAAATGCGCATACTTGCACATGGTCCAGTATATATACTTTGCTTTCGTTAAATAGGAACCTTACCTAGCACACATTCAGTCACAGCTCATGTCAGTGGACCTACACCTACTACACGAGGAGAATAAAGTTGTTCCCACACCCACGGTACTTGCCCAGAGAGATGGGGGCATCTTAACGGCCACAAAAGATGCGTACACACCACCAGGGAGTCAGGGACAACATATGCTATTGGATCAGTTGGATGGTTCATCCCCACACCACATGCGATTCTCGGCTCCTCCTAGCTCTAGTCTCCTCCATCCACACTGTCACTGGTCTCCCACCAAAACAAAATAAAGCAGGCCGGAGAGCGAGAGCGAGAGCGCACACGACAAGGACCTGTCCTGTCCTGTAGCTTCCTGCGCCACCACGGAAAATCCCACTAGCAAGTAGCAAAGCTAGCTAGTGCCTAGTGCATGCGGTGTCCATTGTTCATGGGCACATCCTGCCTCCGCGGCCTCTGCTCCTGCTGCTTCGACAAGCCTAAGCCTAACCAAGAAGAGCCGCCGATAATGGCCGCCGCTACAGCCAGCGCCGACGATCAGACGACGACCATCACCCACCGCACCGTGGAGCTAAGCACCGGCGTGCGCCTGCACCTGGCGGAGGCCGGCCCATCGTCCTCAGCCGCGCCCACGGTGCTGCTGCTGCACGGCTTCCCGGAGCTGTGGTACACCTGGCGCCACCAGATGCGCGCGCTGGCCGCGGCCGGGTACCGCGCCGTGGCGCCGGACCTACGCGGGTACGGCGACTCCGACGCGCCCGCGGTGGCGGACCCCGGGCAGTACACGGCGCTGCACGTGGTGGGGGACCTGGTGGCGCTCATCGACGACGTCCTCGGCGGCGAGAAGAAGCAGGTGTTCGTGGCCGCGCACGACTGGGGCGCGCTCATCGCGTGGAGTCTCTGCCTGTTCCGGCCCGACAGGGTGCGCGCGCTCGTCGCGCTCAGCGTCGCCTACACGCCCCGCAGCGCCGCGCGGAAGCCCGTCGACGGGCTCATGGCGCTCTTCGGCGACGACTACTACATCTGCCGAATCCAGGTACCTCTAAAATTAAACTACCTGCATGTGATGCACCCAGGGCTGTGCCGGCAAAATCTGGGGCCTTGTTCTAAAATTTAAAATAGGCCCTACCCGATTTAGAAAAATAGAATGACAATAATACATATGCTAAAATATACTCTTTTCTTAAAGAAATGTTTTATATAGCAAACCTCTAAAAGAAATAATTCTAGCAGTGAAGTTCTATGCAAACGGTCGAAAGTTTAGCAATCATATGGTTCTGGGATTCGCCCCGAAATGACTGAATTTCGGTGAAATTCACCCATTTCGACGAGGTCCGAAATAGCCAGAAATTTTCGATTTTTCAGTCAGGTCTAGAGTTCAAACATGCCTACACGTTCTTATTTCAATATAGAATTGCAAACTTAACAAGCTATAATTAGTTCATTTCATCTTCATGCTTTTTTATCAAAGTTTGGCCAAAATTCCGTCAAATATAAGCTAAATCTGAATAGTTTGACCGGTCAAAACGAGTGAAAACCGGTCCGAAATTACCAAAATTTCCGAGATTCACCCATTTCGGTCAGGTCCGAAATATTTTGTCATTTGAATCCCAGAATCCCAATCAAAAGAAATAATTACAACAATATACAAAACTATATAAGACAATGGTCCCGTTCACTGGTCTAAAACTTGGCTGAAAAACACTGTTCCGGCTGGTTTGTTGTGAGAGAAAAACACTGTTCGGCTGGTTTGGTGAATAGTGAACTGTGAGGATGATCAGCCGGCTGACTGGATGAATCCAGACCAGCGAACTGACCCAATACCAAGCAGTTTGGGGCACTACGGACAGGCAGCCCACACAGCCTCTACGCAGACTTAAGATTTCCAGGCCTATAGCGGAGACCGGGAGATAACAAACGACAGAGTGGCAGAACGACGTAGATCAATTAGACGGCTATCAGTTCGACGAGTTTGGTCGGCAGATGGACATGCAAGTGCGGGTTGACCGATGCAGTATCACAGCAATTTCCAGACTCCTCATAGACTGTAAATTAATTTGAGGCCCCAAAAAAATCTGAGGCCCTGTACGGTTGCACGTCCTGCACACCCATGGGGCACATGCACCCTTGCCATGCTTGATATTGCTTACTATTATATCTTGCTTCGTGTGTTGATTGACATTATTTTTTTTTCATTTTTTTTAAGAGGAAGACGGGTGTGATGTGATAGAATCCCTAGCGTTGCACTACTCTTGTTCTTCGTCCAAAGTCATGCATCTATACCTGCTTTGCCCGCGCTCTTACTTTGGTCGCTTTCACGGGTAGTGTCTAGTGCGCACATGTCCTTTTCCATGTCTCAGCATTGCAACTAGCGCGTGCTAGACTTGTCCCGTCTATTTCCGTCACTATCGTTCATAAGGAATCCAAAACAAGCTAAGCCTTATGATATTTGTAGTTGCATTGTCTATTTTCAGTGCAGCTTCATCCTAATAAGTTACGGCGGACACCGATTTTTTTTCTCAAATATGCAAAAGGTTTGCGTATCTTTGTATTGAGATCGAGAAATAGTGCAAGTTACAACGATGCGTCATGACTGACACACTAGGCGAGGGATAGTGAGGCGTCCACAGATTAAATTACTTACACAGTGCAACCCTTTTGCTTGGAATAGGAGTTACCATATATATACACTATGTCTAGATACATAGTAAAAACAATATATCTGGAAAAATCAAAACGTCTTATAAGTTTTCCTTCTTTCTTTAATTGTCTTTTAACCAATACAATCGATCTTAGAACGCAATGGGAGTTTACTGTAAGTAGAACTTGATCAATATAAAGTGCCTTCAACTGTTTGTGTCCGGCAAAAACAAGTCCAACTTATATAGCAATTAATATAATATCTGGCTGCTGCCTACACAATATCAGGGTCTTATTAACAACAACTAAAATTACGGTAAACATATGTTGAACTGCTTTTCCCCAGCAGTGTGTAGACGAACCTGATTAACCACTTCACTACTGAACAGTTATCAGAGAGGACCAATGAGCAATGATACGATCATCCATCTGCAGATGCGGCATTAGAAATATCTCGAAGCCCAGCGCAATCTCCAATTTTTTACTGTCATATCGTCGTCATCTTCCACCAATGCAAATTGCTTGCAAGCCAATCTGTTCATTGCTCTATTCGTTTAGCCGATAAGCCATACCGAAAATCTTGCTATTGATTTCTTTGTGAGAGAAAAATATTGTTTCGTTAATTTGAAAAGTATGGCTTATAAGCCAAACGAACAGGACGTAGTTGGATTTCAACAATCTCCAAAAAGTTGCCGTAGTTGGCAGTTGCTACTACATAAATCAACATTCATGTTGTTAATCACTATCGTCTAGATCTATCTTTTGAACATGAAAAAGCATGTGACGCCAAGGATTACCCAAAACAATCAGCCTTTGATTAACATGCATGTTGAACAGGGGCGGAGACAAGGGGGCGGGCAGGGGCCTAGGCCCCCCTATGAATTTGAATTTTCCACTAAAAATTTTAAATTTAAATAAATTTTAAAAATTCAACACTGTTGGCCCCCCTTAACATTAAAAAAAATCAACTTTCTGGCTCCGCCCCTGATGCTGAACCAGTGCGATGATGCTTTCCTTTGTTCGTTCTCCGATTCCTTGCACGCTTTAGCCTTTTACGTATTCAATCCAAAGTATTTGGTGTAAGGCCGTGACGAATGTTATACTTTGCTTAAGAACTCTGCCAACAGTAATCTCTTGCTCTATATTGGTCTCTGTCTTCGTTAGTATCCTTTCCGTAGGCAATCTGAAAGAATCAACTTCATTTAATTTGTTTCTTTTTAATAAAGGAAGAATTTAATTAATTCAAGATCATTACATCGAGCTCAAATAATAATCATGTACCCATTTCTGGTCCAAATCAACTTTGTTTAGGACATCCTTTATACTTCAGCTACAAGGCACCTGAACTTTGTTTAGGACATCTTTATACTTTAGCTACAAGGCACCTGCTAGAGATGTCCAACCATCTTTTTTTTTATGTTGTCAAAAAAATCCCATCTTTTTTAAGAAAAAATACAGCTGTATTTATTGCTCAGAATTCAAATTACAGTCCCGCAAAGTGAAATGCCAACTGCTAATAAATGCTCTATTCTCTTTTATCAGTTGTATTAATAGGCGTCACATACGACTCTAAATTCTAGGAAAAAACACCACCTAGACGGTGTTTTCTGATTTATACAAGTACTTAAAAAGGATTTATACTAGTACTTAAAAAGGATTTCTGTTTTGTACTTAAAAAGGATCGCACGTCTAGGTGGTGTTTGATCATATTCTAGGTGGAGTACATATCTAAATAAGATATGGATATTAAATGTCCATATTCATATTCAGATTATTCATTTTGTGTTTGAACCCCTTTAGACAGATGCATATCGGTAATATCCGTGCTGTTTTCATCCTATTTCTGCCGCAAGGAGATCGCCTTGCCTGCGTGCGATCCTCGACATCTGAGTCAATGGTTAATTTAGCGGCGTGAGCTCGAGAGAACCTGTCTCGCTCGCAATACAAAGCCTAGCTTCCCTGATCTGACCTGCACTTGAATGCCCCATCAACATTAGCTTTTAGCCAGCCCGGTTTTAGGCGGCTTCTAGATCGCAGACTCTCTCCCTGAAGGCGTGTGCATTCCTTGCAGCCATAGAATTTCAACACCGGAAGCTTAGGTTTGGCACCAAAAGGAATTCTGCTGCTGTCGGATGTTGCATAGTTTCTCCAGTACATGCAAAAGAAACCGGATAGATCATGTACAGAACAATTTATCAGATTCATGCGTGATATTGTTAAATACCTACAATGTTCTGCGGAGTAGTAAAAGAAATTGCACTCCCTCATTTGTGTCAAGCTTAAGCAGAAGGCTTAGCATACCTTGAGGATTCAAACACAGGAGTTGCCCGGCAATCATCCAACAAACTCCTGTACCGCCTGCGTGACTTCTCTCAGGAAACAGGCATTGGCCGTTTCTCTTTGGCACCATGCGTGATAAATTTACTAGT